TCTCTGGGAAATGAGGAAATTCACAGGAGCTGCTCTAAGCATTTCAAAAATTGCATTTGATCTTCCCTAGGAAAAAAATTTTCAGCTTGCTAGGATATTCTCTCCTACTGTCTGCTCCTCTCATCTCACCTGGAAGATCTCAAAGAATATTTTAAAGCTAGGCATAATAATAGTAAAAGTGCAGCATGATCAAGAGGAAAACAGCAGGCATGGAATATAGGTTCACAAACTCCGTCATCTTCCTCAATAGAATAATCACTTCCATTTTTAAAAAAGGCAATTGATCTCAATCTGCTTATAAAAGCAAACATCTGAAAACACTGACATCACTAGATCCAGTCCTTAATGTTTTGGACACAAATTATTTGATGTTTAGATTATCCAGGTCCAAGGTTTCTCCTTCTTGTTATCTACTTTTGTGACAAATACCAGGTAAGATGTTTGAAATGACCACAGGTCACCTGAGGAATGTTTGTATTAAGTCTTCTTGCTTTCTATCATCATTCTTAGATTCCCTAATGTGGAAGATGATGCCTTGGGATTGTGTGACCAGCTAACACCTCAAGTGAGAGCTAGTTGTCAGTGCCTTTTACATTTTCCTAAAAAGATGAGTGATAAACTGGTCCAAATCAGAGTTCATTATCTTTTCCCCTAAAACCCTCATCTCTTCCTAACATTCCTCCTATTTAGGGGCACCACAATCCTTCCAGTCACCCAGGTTACTCTGCATTCTCAGGTCACCACTTTCATTCTTTGCTCACAACTAATGAGTTGCCAAGTTTTGTCAATTACACCTGTAAATCTCATGCCCATGCCCTCATTTCTCTACTCTTGCAACCATCACCCTGGTTCAAGTCTTCATCACTTCTTACCTGGACTGTTCCAATTGGCCTGCCAGCCTCCTTTTTTAACCCCCTACAACCTATCCTCCAAAGCTTGTTAAACTGACAATAGTGTAGTTTGTCTATTTTGCTTCCCTGACCAAGAAACTCTAGTGGCTTTCTACTGAATCTAGAATACAAAGCTTTAGCTTACCTTTCCCAGGTTTATCATAGCTCTTCTCCCCCTCATCCACCTGATATTCTGGCCAAACTGCTGATTCTAGGATACAACTGTCTCTTGCTATATCTTTGCACAAAGTGCCTCCTTGCCTAGAATGCCTCCACATCCGTACATCACACAAGCCAGTGTATGCTGGAAGCTCTCTTCCAGTGCCACTTCTACAGGAAGTCAGTCTGTCTGATTTTGCTGTTGCTGATGTTCTCTCCTGTGTTACTTCGTATGTTCTTTGCAAAGATTATTTTCCCCCTCAGAAGAATAAATACTCTGAATACAAGAGCTGTTCTTTCTCTGAAGACAAATTCCCCCAGACGCTCAGTAGGCAACAAGAGATTTCTCCATGGTGCCTTCAACAGGAATTCCAGAACGTGGCTTCCCATAATTTCCAATTTGTATCTTTTCCCTAAAGTTCTGTTCTAGATAGAAAATGGTATAAAAAGGTTAACAGATCCTGGCTCCCCTTTCTCCTTGCTGTTGTTCAGTCATGTTCTGACAATCTGTGATCACATTTGGGGTTTTCTTCACAAAGACACTGGAGTGGTTTGCCATTTCCTTCTCCAGTAGATCTATTTTGTTAGGCAATCAGAGGTTAAGTGACTTACCTAGGGACACATAGGTAGGCTAGCCTGACGCTGGATTTGAACTCAGGTCTTCCTGACTCCAGACCCAGCGCTCTATCCACTGAGCCACTGGCTGCCTCCCCCTTTCTCCTTGCCCCCTATCTAAATGGTAAACCTCAAATCCAAGTGTAAGCAAACAACTGAAATAGATCAACTTGATTGAAAGGTACTTTATTTCAATGCAAGCACACAAATAAAAATTAAGATTCATGGTCCGAGTTCAAATAAGTGTTTTTCATGCAAGATTGGGCTTTAGTTCTTCCACGTAACATGTGGGAACTCAACAACTGAAATCTTTCCTTTCAGGTCTCCCCCAAACCCTTCACATTGTTTTAGTTTCATATAAAGCAGTCCTCCAACAAGGTAAACACAAATGCAGACCTGCGGACCACATGGCTGTTCTCCTGGGTTACAGTCTGGCCTAAGGTGGTGCTTCTTAGATGCAAACAAGTCTCAGATTTCACAGATGAGTCTTACCGAATATGACGTTGTAAGAGTCAGTATGACTCTCCAGGCTGCAGGCCTGGACTGAGGGGGACAATTCTTCATTCTGAGGTCTTCATTCACCTAGTCTAGAAGGACAAGCCAGCCCATGTCTGTTTGTTAGGATGAAGCTGATGATTAAAGTCCACTGAGCTATCAGATTGCTTCTGAAGAGGTTAAGATTGACACAGACTATGGATATGCTCTGAAACATGAAGCACCATGAATACAGGGCTCAAAGAATGAAACAAGAGTATCTTTCTCACAGCATTTAAAGCCTGTTTTTATCTTTTTCTATTATCTGAACAATACAAGCACACAATAAATTTCCTTCCCCCAAATTTGCCAACATATTGAAGACATTTTAAAATGTTGTACAAAATGCCTTGAATTTTGCAAGCTGCCCCTTTATAGGTAGCCATCATAAGCACAATTTTATCTAATTATTTTTTGCTGAACTTGGAACTTAAATTGAATTTTGAAAAGTGCAACTCAAGTGTTCCAATAATGCCAACAGACACATACATACACATACACATATATACTTTTTTTTAAACACTGAGACTAATTAACACAAGCAGCTACTGTACTCCTGCATCACTGAATTGGTGCTGCAGTACATTATTTTAAATTAAATCCAACCAAATGCTCTCCTTGTTCTGCTCAGGCAGAGCTACCAAGAGAACTGAGCAGCACTTATCACATACATTTGTTTATTCCTAGTGAGAACATTTGCAAATTACCATGGTACTTCCAGCATCCCTGCAGGGAGAGGCAATCTCACCACAAAGCAAATCCTCCTTAGAGCCTAAGCCCAAAATAAAGCCAAAATACAGGACTCAGTCTCCTCTGGGCCATGAACATTTGAACCATATTTATAGCTCAAACTTAAATGGAGCCCTTAACCAGCAGCATGGACTAAATTAGGAAACACAAGTATTTATCTTTCATTCATATCCCAAACACATTGCTCTCAATAAAGGAACTCCAAAAGCTGTGTTCACACTGGCTTTTCCTTCAGATTCCTGATTGATGAAGTCTAGGTCTAGTTAGTCAAGTAAAGCAACTTTTTTTTTTTAATCCTTTCTTGGGAATCTCCTATTGGTCACTAAATTTCTGAAACACCTACAATCTTTGGTAAGCACCTGACCCAGCCAAACAGGCTATTTTAATCATTAGTTTATTGAACAAACCAGACATTAGACAGCTCACTCCTGAGTGCTAACAATTAACACTGGCAGGTAATCTGTGGTGAGAGCTATTCACACTCCTAAGGGTCAGGCTACTGGTAATTAGTCTCAAGAGGGGAAGTGAGAAACAAAAGGTATTCTGGGAATAGGGTGGGCAGACACATCCTCTCAAAAACAGAAAGGGTTTTCATTTGTCCTTTTTGAATAATAGATACTACAGTGACTTGCCCTGGGGATGCCTGAAAATCCAAAGTAGTTTCCCACCCCATCCCCCCAAGTATGTCACATGAACCATGAAAAGGAACAGGAGTTGCCTGCAGTGAAACTCCACCACCTGCTTTCCCCAACTTGGGCAGTAGTTATGGGTCTAACAGTATGTTGTCAACACCAACAAAAGTCAAAAGGTTTCTCCCCCGCACAACTGTATTGTAATAAAGTTCCAATTCAGTCCCTCTCTCACTCCCACCCCACCAGGACCAAGTTAAGCTGTTATGTAGTGCTGATTGACCCTTAAATACAAGAAGGCAGGAAAAAAGGGGGAGAAAGAAGAATAATGGGAGTGTGATTTCTTTCCCAATTAAATGTTGTCCACCCCAGAAATACCTGTTTCCCCACTCAACCAACAGAGCTGAAAACAGAAATGCTCTATCTTCAAGCCTGATTCTGGAGTTTGTACCCAGACCAATAGCCCAACCTCACTGTTGTAGCCGGGTTCTACAATATCTGCCCTCCCACTAGCCCAACCTCTTCCTTATCTGTTATTGACAAAGATGGTTAAAGCAGATAATTTTCAGACTCATTTGTCATAGAGTGCTTAGGACTCCTGTCGATGCCAGATCCCCAAAATCTCTATGCTAGACAATGCCTGAATAAGGTTATCAAAGAAAAACTGGGCCTTGGAGATTAGGAAGTCTCCACATAAATTGATTTACCAACAAGATGCTGAGTTTGTTCCCTTAGTCCCAACCTGGGACTAAGTGTTGTGATACTCACACCCTAGGGAAAGTCAGCAAGGTCTTCATACATTTAAGCTTTGGAGGTTTTTGAAATTAAGCAAATTTCACATAGACGTGGTAAACCTATCACCCCCTAACATACAGAATGGATACCTCCCCTCATCGCACATCAATATTCACTTCCTAATATGTACCATGTCTGACAGCTAGTACAATTTCCTTTAGCAAATGGGGAGAAGTAGAAGCAGAAAAATCCACGTGCTTTGGAACAATAAGATACCCTAAAGGAAAGCTACCAAAAGAAAACTACTCAAAGTAAAAGAGTTTTTCTACATGAGCCCCATCCATGTTTCAAGGATCTTATGGACTGGCGGACCATAACAGGTCAATTATATGAAAGCTGAAACACACCACCACCAGGATTAAGCTTTAAGTGGCACTACTGTTTCTAGCCCAAGTTTTCTGCCTACTGGGACAAGTTTAGGTAAACAGCTTCAAATCACTGTGTGTCCTACACTGGGTAGAAAAGAAAGGTTTTGCTTTTAGAGCTGCTGACAGTGTTTTCAGGGCAGCTATTGGGCTAGCCTTAGTACATCTGTGGTTTATTTGGAAAAGCTTTCTGAGGAGGCATTGAAGAAAGGGTTCAAGTAGGAGAAGGGGAGGGGAGGAGGAAAAGAAAGAGGACTGGTCAATCAGAGCCACAGACAGTTTATTTTTCCAAAATAAGATTAGGAAAAGAAATGAAGAACCCACTGGTAGTTAAGTAGCAGGAGGCAAAAGTGTCTTCTTGGGACTGTCATCTGCAATTAAAAAGAAAAAGAAGAGTTCTTGGTACTTATCAATAATATTATTACCAGTATTATCTGACAAAGGGCCATGAAGCCACAGTGAAATTGAGAACTTGTCCTGTCAGCCTGCTAAGGTGGCTGCCTCCTGCTTTCTGCCAGGGGCACCCTCCAGCACAGTGCTAAGCACACAAGAGCCCAAGAACACCCTCTGAAAACCTCAGCATTCACTTAGCTTCATCTCCCAGATGTGCTAGGAGAGACAAAGGAAACTACTCTGAAATTCTTTGAGGCAAATTGGTTTTGTTTTTTTTTCCTGATTAACTGCAACCCATACTTCACTGATTGTTAGGACCTTTCATCATCCTGTTAGATGAAGAGGATTTGTGGCTGCTTCTGATAAGGACTCTTTCCCTAAACAAATACTTCTTTCCTTTTTCTATCTTAAGAGTAATACAGAACAGTATCTTTCCAGAGGGGGAAGAGTGAATTTCCAAAGGAGAAAAGCATCAGTCCCCCTAAGTACTGCAGCAGGCAGCTTTTCCTCGTTTCTCTCCTTAGAAGAGTCACCTTGGCCAGCAAGTTGCCATGTGCATGGCCACCACACATCCTGTGGAATACGTCAGAGTGTGGAGCTAAGGTCGGCAATTCATCCGGCCTCCTCAATTTGTGCTTTCCTGACACTCCCCAGGCTATTGTATACCCTCTCCTTTTGGTGCCAAGAGCATTTCAAGAATTCCATTTTCTCTGTTCCTGACATACTGGATAATGTGGCATCAGAATCCATCAAGAAATCAAACACAAGACAGCCACAAACTGAGAAGCGTTAGTTCTCAAAGTTAAGGGGTTTTAGCTTTAAATATCTTATATATTTTCTGGAGCACTAAGAACAAAGAAGCTAATGAGCTTTAGCACAAAATGACGATTATCCCCCTGGATCCATCATTATCCAGAGAGAGGTTAGGTTAGAAGTCTAGATTTAGGCCAAGCCTTCATTTCCCTCGAATATTGTAGCTGGTGGTTTAAGTCTCAAGGTAAGGTCTGAAGCATTCAAACTGGTTCTGCTGTGGGGTGACCTTGCGAAAGATCTTCATTTACAAAAAGACCAAGATTTTGAATTCCTCCTAAGAGTTGTGAGGTCCTACCATATCAAATGGTCAGAAAACAGCAACAACATGAGGCCCCTGGAGACCTAAGTGTTTGACAAAAAAAAAAAATAATTTTTTTTTTGGATGAGTGTTAAACTGTACTGCATGGGTAAACAAACAATTGTAGGGTCATGAAGCACAGCTGTCTGATTAATTTCAGTCCATTAGAGAGGCATGATATGTCTAAAATGCAACTTTGATAAAAATGAAAAAACAGGCAATGTGTACTGACGTTAAGGAAAACAACTAGGCATGTTAACAGAATTCCAATTTAACCAGTAAATGCCTATTCATTAGCGTGTAAAGCCATAACTGAGGCTATATACTTAGAAACACACACAAAGCTTTAATTTGGCACTATCATCTGAGAGAAAATTGGACCTAAATTGCTTTATGTCCAGTTAAATCCTGCTACCATCTGATGAGATAGTGAAATAAAACAGAAACACTTACTTGATGAGATAGATTTTCAGTTACTGTGCATTTCCATCTATGGAGTAATAAATATATCAAGTCAATGGAAACATAACCTATCCCTTATCCCCAAACTAAACATGAACCTCTACTATGATATATGAATTCTAACTACATTAAAAGACTTTGAAAGTCAATGACAAAATGACCAAAAACACATCCTCAATTCAAGTCTCTAGGCAATCAATTTGGTAATCTCACATTCAATGACCATAGGCCTCCCACCAAAAGAAAATTTAAGAGACAGCTAAATACTCTAAAATTAGTTCAGATACTAGCAAAGATAATTGATACCAAGGGCATTTGAATTTAGAAGTCACACTAGGTTCAAACGTGGGCATTAAATTGGAAACCAGAGGTTTATGGTAATCCTGGGTATTTGATATATTAGCCATAGCTCTGAGATTAAGAAGTAAAAAGGAGGACAGAGATATTTTTTTAACATGAACTGATAGGGCAAACTAGGGGGAAAAAAGCCAGTGGGTTTAAAGAACTGGAGGATCTAGTTTTGTATCCTATTTTAAGGCTTTGGCCAAATCATTCAATTTCTCTGCCTCTGTTTTTCATCTGTAAAATGTGAGCACTGGACAGTTGGTCATGTCACTTCCCTGATCATCCTTCAGTGGTTCCCTGTTTATGGCAAATTAAGTCTAAACTCCTTAGTCTGGAATTCCAGATCTTTTCATACACAATCTGATCCCAACCTATCTTTCTAGTCCTAGTCCTATTCTCCACTACACTATTTCTTTTCCATCTCAACATTCCTAGTGACTTCTAGACACTTCTGTTCTCTTAACAGGTGCCTTTTTTTTTTTTTTAGCTTTTGCACAAACCATCCCCTATACCTGGACCTTTCTCCTACATTTCACTTCTAATCTTAATCTGCTGAAATCCTACCTCTGTCCTTCAAGACTTAGTTCTATGAAACCTTCTCTGATTTTCCCCAGCAAGAAATGATTTCTCCCTCCTCTGAACTCTTACACTATTATCTCTGCATCTTACACTATCACTTACTACATTCTATCTAGTATCAGTTATTTCTGTGTGAAACTCTAATTTTCAAAACTGCCTCACACTTAAGTATTAGGAACATTTTTATTACATCTGGCCTATGTGCCTCATGATGAAGCTTAAGCCCACTTCCCTGTGTTATTCTCATTTGAGACACAGACTAGCTAGTCAGTATTCTCTGAGTGAAGAACTTTATTACATTAGCATTTAGGCTGAATGATTCTAGTTAGCATAAATTTTAGCCATAGTCTCCCTCTAATGCGTTTGTCATCTCTGTCTCTACTGTGTTTTCCCTCTGGGAGGTTCTCCAGAGTCTGCTTTAGTTGTAGATCCCAGAACTGAGTTTTTTACTTCAAAATGTGTCTGGTTAGAAATTGGCATAATGAATGGGTCATCTAAGGGTTCCTCTACTGGCACAGAATTCACAAAAGAAAGGTCTGGGTAACAAACAGCAGAATCTACCCCTGAATAATCAAGGCTGACTCTACCCACATCATGGAAAGAATACTTTCTGTTCAGCTCCATCCCACTTACTGCTTTTCCATGGTAGTACAGATGGCAGAGACCTGGGAACCCGCATGCCTGAAGCCAGGTTACTCTTATGTTCCACAACCACATTGTTCGCAGGGCTGCAAAAAGAGAGGACCTTAACTGTCTTGGTACATGGGGGTCACATAAGGACTAACTTTCAGTTTCACAGACAAGAGGACATACATGCCAATCAGGATGTGTTTCTATTATCTAAGGGAAAAGCAACAACCCACACAGATTTGAAACGTAAAAATATTTCTATCAAAATAGGCCTTGCAATTAGAATGATTACTCCTTCTCTGAATGGCTCAGTGTTCTGTACCAACATTCAAGAAGGTATAGCCATTTTCACTGTCCAATATGTTAACTGAAATTGAGATAAACAGGGATGCCATCTACTGTTCAAATTCATGACAGGCCCATCAAATCACTCACTAACCATAAAAGACAAAGAAAAAGGCCAAGATGACTAAGTCTAAGGCAGTGAGCCTCATAAAACTAAAATAGGATAAAAGCTGTCTTAATGGAATTTATTATTTAAGTCTATATGATTTTTACCTCCATGAACTTACAAAAGAGTGTACATAATACACAGTTATTATTGACTTTGGAGGCTAGGAATCACAAGTTCCAAAATAGTCCATTTGGAAAAACAGAAAAGCACAAATATGAAATTTAGCATCCAGAGGACACTATCCATTCATTTTCCAACCCCAGATTCTCCCTTGGGTTTGCTACTTAAGTTTCCAGCCATGATATGTATTTCAAGAGTAGAGTTAAAATGCATCTTATTGCTTTTAAGTTAGAAATAAAACTACTGAAGAGGTGGATTTTCTTCTCTTCCCTTTAGGAATTTTAAAATCTCCCTACCTTGAAAGCCTATTACTTTTAAAAAGACTAATCTTTGCTTGTCACCAAAGGGGAAAACTATCAAATTGGAAAAGTGGAGATTTTTAAAACACCATTTATAACATATCAAGAAAAACTAAGCAGTAGAACTATGTGGTATCCCAGTGTTACATAATAGCCCACACACCAAGAACAACAGGTCACGCTGCAGTGTAAAGTATGGAGCCACCAAGGCACATTCCAGGAACAGCCCAATACCAAAGAGGTGACTTTTAAACAAGAGAATATCCAACATGAACGAGGAGCATCAAGAGTCACACCATTTTCATTACCTGTTATTGCCACTGCAGTTAGCAGTGCCCCAGACAAAGGTAGTGCTGGACTGCCCCAACAAATCTGCCAAAGGAAGCAAAACACAGCTTGTGACACTTATTTAGGAAGGCACCAGTGTGAGCCAGCATGCAGAAGCTGTGAAATGGGGAATCAAGTGCCTGAGTTTAAAGAAGGGAGTAAAAATTGATCAAGTGTCCTGACTAAGTGACAGTATAGCAGGAATTTAATTGAAAGATATAAACGCACACGGCATAAATAATAATAAATGTGTCTATTAACAACCAAACACAGATGGCACAACACAATTTATGGAAAAAACAGATGTGAGGAAGTGTTTTTTCCACTCAGAGATGGGCTGCTCCACGTGTCTACCACGTAATACAAGAGCACTCATTCTGGGGCCCAATAAAAATTATCAGGCGTCTTAAAAAATATGGCATGTTCTTAAAAGAGAGAAATCTTCATTCTGTGCTTAGTAGCCTGACTATGTAATGAGAAGCTATGAACACAGAAAAGAGTAGAGGTGCCTCACCTTTATCCCAGTCTTCATCACAAGGAGGGCACTGCCATGTGTTCACAGCCACAGCCTCGCATCTGTAGTTCCTGGACTGGCTGACTGTGAAACAATATAGATTCCCACATAAGCATGAGGCACTGCCAAGTTATATTGCTTCAAAGGGTTAGCAGGCAGGGCAGCCAAATGCTTCTTTGTTTCTGAAAGAAGGACAAGTCTAAAATCTAAACAAAGGGACCTTATCTTTTCCCTGAAGGTACACAAAGGGGCTGGGGTGGGGGTGGGTGTCCAAGGAGGGAGCAAAAACAAAGAAGTCTAGCATAATATTTATGACAATAATATGAGATTTTCATTTTTAGGATAAATTGTTAGTAAAAATAGTCAGGTTGTTCAGAAGAAAAAGGAGCCTGACAAATACAGCATGACAAACTATTCCTTCTAGAAGACAAAATCTTATAAACACAAAAGTAATGACCTTTTGGAATGGAGTGGGACAAAAAAAAAAATCAAACATCATGTGGTATATCAGTTTTCTCGGTCCCAATATCAAAGTACCTTAGCTGCTGATCCTTACCAACATCCTGTTCAATGAAGCTTTTGTCATCGCAGCTTGAGATGTGGCGACCGATTTCAGCCCGGGGAACTTGGTGGCGAGCGTTGAAAGGACATGTAGCCAATTTGTTTGCAACATCAGGGTGGTTCTACCAAAGCAAAGTCAAGGAACCCATCAGTTCCTTAGCCCTCCAAGGAGGGTTTGACTTAGCTTTGTTCTATAAATGCTAAAAATTTTTCTTAGTCAGTGGCTTAAATAGGGTAAAAATCCTTAGCAGAAAATCAAAAAACAATGATTACTTGCTACTCATAGTTTACCTAATTAATCCTCACAAACCCACCCACAATTTAAGTTTAATTATACTCACTGTAGAAAGAGCTTTAAGTCTTTATGAGGAAGGGTGAGGTGGCTTATCAACAGAAAGACAACATAGAACTGAGTTTCTAAATAAAATTCCCAATCCCCATGTTTAATTCTCAAGGTCGTACACTTTCCAGGGGAGGGGAATTTAATCTGAAATTGAATACAAATCTCTGAACATTTGATCGCTGATCTTTAAGATCAACAGTAAAAAATACCCACCACTTAGGCTGAAGTAGAGGCAGATAAAGAAAGTAAGGCTAGATAAGCAGCTGGGAAGGAGCTCTTGTAGCTGCAGCAAAGGATTGTTCATGTTTAACACAATAAAGCCCATTTAAAGTCATGAGTCCTGGGATAAAGGTCTGAACAATCTGACCTTTACTGTAGTCATTTCCCTTAGGAAGAGTTATCTATCAAAAAATAACTGGTGACTTGTTTTTGAAATAAAGTGTATGGATGGGGTCACTACATCCAAATTCTATCATCAAAACAAAGACAACTGGGAAGCAAAGAAATTCAGTTTGACTGCCAACACAGGCTCAAGAGGGCAAGAAATGGGAAGGGAAAGGCATAAAGAAGGGGGTGTGGGGAGAAGGAAAGGAGAACAAAGGCACAAGAAAAAATCGTAGATATGGGGATTCCAATCTGTGTGGGTGGAGATCAAGCCACTTCCAGTGGGTCAAGACTTCAACAGGAGAGAAAGGCATTGCTGTGTCTTCCAGGTACCATCTGTTACTTTCCCACCAAAAGTGTCTGAGGACCAAGAGAAGGGGAAGGGTCAGGACAGATGACACCTGGAGACCAAAGCAGCTTAAACAGCTGATGGTCATGAAAATAGGCTAGAGACCCTGCTCCAGAAACTAAGAGGGAAGAGCACATTATTCAATTATATTTATTAAGTACCTATTATGAACTTGTGAAACTAGACTCCTCCTTTTCAGTCAGGTTGTTATTATTAAACTTACTGCTGAGTAACCTGAATTAATATGAACATTATTTCCATAACATAACTCTGAGCAAAAGCTATACCTCGTCTCAGGTGCTTGCATTTCAGCAACAATGACAGTGTATCTTCAGCAATTTACCAACAGTGAGGTTAACCCTAGCCATGCTTATACAAGAAAGAAAGCTTGGTAAGTTCTGCAGATGCTTACTGTTCAAGTTTAGTGAAGAAATTATTTCTAGGAGAATAATATTCTGACCTGTAAGTAAGTTAAATTTCAGTCAGACATCCAAACTGAAATACAGTTTTAAATCTTCAAGTAAAAAAAAAATCTGAAAAATTTCTAATAGCATTTGACCCTTAACATTCCAAAAACTATGAATAAATCAAAGTCATAAGGCAGGAAGGTTTTTTCCTATTGCTTGCAAAGGTTGGTGTTTTCTGTCTTTTTTCTATAAAGGGTGAAAAGCACTGCTTCTCTAGAGTTGCTCCTGACATCTCCAAACAAATAAACAAAACCCCTCCGACATACCTAGAGGAAAAGAAAGTCCCTCCTACAAATGTTGTGACAAAAATAGAGGAAGATTCATCAACCAATTCAGGCAGTCCACTAAAAATTATGCACTGAGATGACTCGATTTTTACTTATTAAAATGGGACAGCTTATGAGGACATTAAAGAGCAAATGAGAAAATAATCCCCTACCTTTCTGCATTTGATCAGATGATAAGGGAACCTGCAGGCCCTGATCTGATGGTTTTTATCATACGGGCACTGTATCAACTTCTCTGGATCCAAAGAATCAACTTATAAGGGAAGAGAGAAACACAATGAATATAAAGCAAAACAGCATATGTAAAACTGTAGCCCATGAAGCACGTTGGATTTTCAGGGGATCAAGAAAGGTTTAATAATTGCAAAAAAATTATATTTTTCATAGTTTGTGACATAAGACCATCTAAAAGGTAACTAAAGTATCTAAAAAATGACTATATTTTAAAATGGAATCATAGCTCAAAGCAGACAAAAAGGAGCTGCTACAGAATCTTAATGAGCCTAGCAGAACCACATACACTCTGGATTGTTAATTCCTTTTTGATTTTATGCATAACTGCAGATGCTATTAGTTTATTTGTAGGCTGTAAAAGCAAATGGTTAAATGAAACCTCTTTTTCTTTTTAAGAAATATGAATGCAGGATTCATTCCCATGTCACCTAGCCTTATATATGCTTAATAAAAATTAGTATGAAGATGTTCCTTTGGTTCTGCTTTCTCTATAGGTTATTCTCATGAAGAGTTCTTAATCTTAGCTACTTAAGTTGGTCTATTCATTCAAAAAAAATTTATTAAGTGCATAATTTATGAGGAAGGTACTGTACAAAGGGATGAATGCAACTTATTTCCTGCTCTCAAGACATTCAGAAGAACTTAGTAAATGTATAATCTAGTTATTATGTAAATGAAAACAGAACCTAAACCAGAAAGGCATATTCATTTTTTTATATTTTAGAATACACCTAAGATGGGAATGACTTAATCTGCCCTAACACAGAGGGACTGTATTAGTTTCTCTGGATCCAAAGAATCAAACTGAAATCAGCTTTATAAAAGACCAGTGACAGAGGTACAAAATCCTCTTCCTCAAGTTATAAGTGCTATGGCCAGTTACAACAAATGTTATGTATATATGTATTCAGAGACCTTGATTCTGGTTCACAAGATGCCCAGAAGTGTACACAAAGGAGATTCTTTACCTGAAGCAGAAAAGTCTCAGGGAGACATACTTGACAATGGCTTTCAAGCACCTTAAAGCAACGTCATGTGAGGGAGGGGTCACACTTGTTCTGTTTGGCTCCCAGAAGACAGAACCAGGAGCAATCAGTAGAAGTTGCCAAGAGAAATTTAGGACTGCTGTCAATTCTAGAGTAGAATAGGCTGCCTTGAGGGTTAGTGCCAACATGCCTCACCCACCTGACCACTTCCTTCCCCCTAGGGTCTTTGAGAAGAGGCTGGACCAATTAAGAGATGTGTTAGAGTTCAGGATCTGAAAGGTATGAGTTTGATTACTCTGAGGGGACTCTGAGGTCCCTTCCAACCTTCTTAATTCTGTGATATTGTGGAAGACATCCAGGGTCCTGTCCCAAATTTGAAAGGAGAGGTTAAAAGGTTAAATTTATTTTTAGTGGATTATAACAACCTAACAACATGCCCTTACCCCCACTGAAGGTTTGATAACAATGAAATAAGATAAACCATTCACAATGAAAAGAAGTTTATAAGCCAGAGGACAGCTATGGAAATCAGGAGTCAGTAGAGAACTGAAGCCGACAGTTTCACTGGAAGAGTGGTAAACATGGAATAAATTGCTAACCATGATTATGATGCAAATGAGCCAGAGAGGAGACTTGAAGGACAGAGAGAGCAGAAAGAAATGAAAGTCTTAGAGGACAGGTTTATTATGCCTACCAACCTTTTCTTGATCAGCAGTCTCCTTATAGTCTAATGTTCCAGGACATCAAGGGACAGTTTACAGATGTAAATTCTGATTAGTTTCCCTTCATTTGTTCTGTTCCATAACTAGCAAATGTTAGACCATGTCACTAGCTGATACAATGGATGTCACTTTATGATTCATGCCCATACAGATGCATATGTCACAACTGACAGAATGACTGTTTTCTACTGCTATGTTTTGCTTCTCATAACTTAGGAGATCTCCAATTTGCTCTGCCTGGCCTTTTGGGCAAAAGACTAAATTTGGACATCCTAGCAGAATAACCTCTGTTGTAAAATTCTGCTCAGAAAACTCACTTTGATGTTTCTCAGACTTGGCAATGTGCCAAAGTGAATGGTGAAGAAATGAGAATATGAAGGAGACTTCAAAGACAAATGCACTATTAGCCAAAGATCCCCCTATATGAGATTAAGTTAATTCTTTGTCACTTTGGTAAAATGTCCATCACCCACAACACTCTTATCTCCCATTTCTGGGCCTTTGTACAGTTTGTGTCCCCTATGCCTGCAACAATGCAATCCTTTCTCACTTAGGCCTCATAGAAAGAATTCCCCATTTCCTTCAAAGCTTAGCTAAAACATCACCTTCTACATGAAGCCTTTCCTGATCCCTCCCCTCTGCTAATGCCTCCTATCCATTATCTCATCTTTATATATTTATTTTGTACATATTTGTATTTGCACATGTTGTCTCTTTCAAAGAAGTAAAACTCCTTTCTTTTCTGTCTTTGTATCCCAAAACCTAGGACAGTGCTCATCACTTAGCAGATATTTTAATCAATGCTTACTGACTGAAAATTTGAAAAATGCACATCCTGTGAAGCATCATTAGACTGAAAAATAACCAATAGTTGACTGCTAAGATAAAGTAATGAAGACAATGTCTACAAGATCTACATGGGAAAGTCTGCTTTAAAAAAACCAGGTGGCAGTGGGTCTGTAAGGATGAACAGAAATCTCCCTTTTTGAAATGTAAATACATTTTAAAAACGGTATTTGTGGATTTACTGGAGACACAAGAGCAACCATTCTAAACAGACAATAACAGCAATTTCTGCTTCATTTTTAACTTTTTATCTATTAATTAACTTAACATCTCTGTTCCTTATTTTACCGATGTAACTTTCACTGTTGTTCTACCAGGAGGCAGAAAAGGGTTGGAAGTGCCTTTATTAAGACATCAATTAGATGAGGATTCTGAGTAAGTATGCACAATATGTTTTTCTAACTTGGGTGAAATTAAAATAGGGTATTATGTTTAAACAATGAAAGAAGATTCTAGTTAACTAGCTGTGCCAACTTTGTAACACTGGTGAGGTCAGTGTTGTCAAACTCAAACAGAAATGGATACCTGCCAGCTTCAGGTAGACTTAAAAATCCACAAATTAACATTATTTATGCCATATTGCATTTTTGTTTTGCTAAAAATTTGCCAATTACATTTTAATGTGAGTTTGACACTTCTGGAACCAGCCTATCTCTACAATTCTTTCAAGTTCTAAAATGCTTTCAATCTAGATACCAAAATTCCCTTTGGTTTCCTAGAGGTCCCAAGACCATTGAATTATAAGAATCCAACCAGGAATTCTATAATCTCAAGGGCTAATTGTACTTCAGCCTCAGTTACCTTTCATATACCCTTTTATCATCCCTGTAAACAGAAAGGGCCAGAAGTTATTTTACCTGTGCCCTAGTTGGGAAAACTGAACTCTAGAAAGGTTAAATAACTTGAAAAACTGCGAATTAGTGAAGAAGTAAACGATATCTTCTGTTTCTTGGAAGTTCTTTTTTTAAACAATATTTTAAAAAATGTATTTATTTTTAGTTTTCAACATTTACTTCCACAAGATTCTGAGTTCCAAATTTCTCCCAATCTTATCCCTCCCCCCACCCCAAGATGGCATGCATTCTGTATACCTCTTCCTCTAATTTGCCCTCCCTTCTATCACTCCCCTCCTTCTCTTATCCCCTTCCCTTTCTATTTTCCTGTAGGGCAGGATAGTTTTCTATACCCTATTTCCTGTATTTCTTATTTCCCAAGCTGTAACTGAAAACAATTTTTTTTAACATGTATTTTTAAAACTTTGGGTTCCAAATCTTGGAAGTTCTTTTGACTTCAAATATCCCTTGTGGATCAAATCCAAAATACTTTATTGCAAATGTGAGTACTTCTAAATATCAACTATTATAGTAGAAATTTTACCCAGTCTCCTCCTGTACAATGCTAACTCAACCCAAGCACCTAGGAGCAACATCTGTACTATCCTTTTCAGTACCTGTAGTAAGCTAGAAGTCTTGGTCACTCAGAAAGAATAAATTACTAGGTTTTTGCTTTTGATGAGCAAGCAGAGATCTATTTATCAGTAAGAACGTACCATAATTCTCTTCCATGTCTGCAGTGAAAAGGAGGCAGACCCAAGTGCTCTCTCAAAGCTGTGATTCAGGGAACCAGAAATGGCATCCACCAAAAGGCTCCAACTCAAAGAAACGGAGTCAAACTGGAATTAAAATCAGATTTAACTTGGGCACAAGCAAAAGAAGAAAAACCCCTCAACAAATCCCCTGAATTTGTATTTTTTTTAAACAAAGAACTTATATAACCCTGCCTGATTCACATTCACTGCAATAAGCAGATTCTCAGGCCTGGCAACTCTTAAGGAAAATGGAAGATGACAACCAATTTAAATTATATTCAGGTGATAAACTGGCAGGCTTATTTTAACTGTTATTACAACTACATGTCACTCTTTAACATCTCTTCAGTTTTGAAATGCTGTTAAATGTTACAGAATAATAAAAAAAAAAAACCCAGAAGAGTACCATGTTATTTAAGCACCTGATTATAAAACACAGGAAGAGAGAAACATATTTTTAAACTCCCTGCTCAACTTCCCAAGGGGGGTTGGCCGAGGAAGGAAAGTAGTCCTTTCTAGCAGTTGAAACTAAAACACCAGTACCAGGCAGCAGATTCTAAGTCAGGCCCCTCACTTCATCCAGAGGGAGAATGTCTTCCTTAAACGTGGTAGGGGCAGAATCACAAGCTCAATGATTCCAGCGAACTGCTCTTTCACCCACACTCTAAAAGAGCTACCTGCCACCCTTTATAGTTCCTACCCCACCCAAGCATAGCTTAACGGTGGTGATATTTAAGATCCTCCAGGTAACAATCATTCTCTTTTTGCTCCACAGGAATACTTCTGGGTAAGACGACTTGAGAGGGCCGTCCATTTCCTAGATGATATCACCAGACATGAGACGGTTTGTAACAGATACCTCAGAGGGGCAGAAAATGAAGTATGACTGACTGGTGCCTGAGTCCTCTTCCATCTGAAGAGAGGTCTTATTAGTGGGTATTGTGATGAAATATACTTATTGTTATGGGGGGAGGAGGAAGAAGACAACTTCTAAGTCATAAACCAGCACTCCTGCCCAAGTGCTGGCTTGGATTAAAAGCCCCTGCTCTCTAGGGAACTGTCTCCCCGGGTTACCGTCCCCCCCGTTCGGTGGAACACCACTTTGGAAAACACAAATGATCCGCTGGAACACTAGCAGCGTAACCGTTCAGAGCTGATTAGTTAATTACACTCACTAAAGTGGGCTGCCCCTCCAACTATGAAATTCAGATCTTTCCTTCAGAGGGGATCTTTATTCGTATGGGGCTATTTTTATACCGCTCTATCTTTTAAAGCTAAATTAAAAGGATAGTTTGAGAGCTCCTCGAAGTTGGTGGGTTTTTTGGGGGGGAGGGGCGCGCACAGAATAGAAAAAGCCAAAAAAAGAGCTCGAGGGCTCTTTGGTGTAACCCTATTATTTGACTGAGAAAAAAAAGCCCAGCCATACTGCCCTCCCCACCCCCCAATCTCGCGGGCCGGGTCGCCCACCGCCAGCCTAAGTTTAGGGTTAGATTTAAATGGACGAACGTTAACAAACGTTAAAAAAAAAACATGCCTCCTAATCTCAAACCTTCACCCCTGGCAATGGAGTGAATAACCCCTCCCCCCCGTTTTTAACCCCGGCTCCCCCCACCTTTTCTTCGTCCCTTAACTACCCTCTCCCGCGGGAGTTTTATGTTTAGTTTGTTTAGTAACATATGTTAAATTTAAATATAGGGAGCGGGAGAAAGCCCGTGGGCTAGCTCCACTTAAGCCGAGGGGACTCGGCAGCCGCGGCCCCTCTGGGGTTGCTTCCTTTTTGGGGGGGGGGAGGTCGGGGACCCGGACAGGGACTCGAGAGACGGAGGCGGGCAGCTAAAGGGGCTAGGCAGGGCGAAAAAGGGGGAGGGGAGCGGCGGGAGAACACCGGAGGCGAGGGCGGGCAGTTTGGGCTAAGCGCGCAGCCGCCGTTGCCTCCTGTGGTAGCGGCGGCGTCGAGAAAAGGGCGGGTAAGGGAAAAGAGGCGCGCCAGAACGAGCCACATGGAGGTAGGGTTTGGAAAAGGAAACCAGGGCTGACCAGGGCCAAAGCCACTCGAGAGGAGCGCCCCCGGGAGCCGAGAAGGGGAGGTCCTGTCAAAGGAAAGAGGGGTGAACCGGAGCCCGCTCCCGGCGCATGACGAGATCCTACCTCAGAGCCCAGCCGCACTGCCGACTCCCAGTTGTGGTAGCCTCACCTCAGCTCCCAGGCAACGCCCACTTCCGACCCTCGGCGTTAGGGCGGAGCCCACTTCCGGTGGCGAGCTGGGTTTTTCTCTCCCCGCCCCCTCCCATGAACCTCTGTGAGGATGAGAGTGAGGCTCTCTACCCCCTCCCCCACTCTCAGCCCGAGAACCCAGAACGAGGCTCCATTGTTAGCGTTCACGTTTGCGCTGCAACGCTTTAGTGAGGGGGTAGGGGGGCTTTTCTAAGAGGTAGAAGAAAGGAGAGAGAAAAGGAAAGGAGTGAAAGGGAGAAGAGAAAGAAAAGAAAAAGGAAGGGAAAGAGAAGCAAGGGGTGAAAGAAGGAAAAAGGAGAGCAAAGGAAAAAAGTAGGAAAGAGAAGGGAGAGAGGAGAGGAAGGAAAGAAAAAATGGAAAAGAGAAAGGGGAAGGGAAGTGAATAGAAGGAGGAAGATGAAAGAGAAGAGAAGGAAAAGAAGAGAAAGGAGGAGAGGCAGACAAGAAGGAGAGAAGAACAGTGTTCGGGGGTCGAGCCTGCACCAGGAGACTCCCACCCACTTGTATGTCAGTGCTCCCTGATGATGGGGAGGGTCCCTGGGGCTAAAGAGTGATGTGATAGTGCAGCACGAGACGCCAGCGTTGGGGGGAGGGGAAGGGGACGCCAGGGAGCGCTCACGTTCTAATCAAGTGTGTTCCCATGGAGCCCTATGAATGAGAAGGGACTTTAAATGTTGCTTTGAGAACAAAAGTTAAGTGGGGTTATTACCTCCCTTCTGTGTTCTGAACACTACTTACGTTAATAATATAGCCTAAGATTGCCATGTTTGGTGGTGGTTTCTTTTTTCACTATAACATCTCAGAATCCCAAAGTTGGCAAAGACTTCAGAGGTCATCTAGTTTAACCCAAAGGACATTCACTGATTATGTAAAAAAAAAAAAGTGTCCCTCGCAGGCATTTACCTTTAGACCAGGAGTGAAATGAATGCGTGACTTCCTGAGGCATTTCCTTCAATTTCTGGGTAATTCTGATATTCAACTTCACCGCTTATTCCTTCTGGGCTATTTTGCACAGGGTACAAAGAGGGTCAATGATTAGAGAAGTCTCTGCTATTGCTTTGGTATAAACGGTAGTTTCAATTCGATTCAATTGAACAGACCTTCATTGAGTGGCTACGTGTTGTTTAGAGCACTCCACCAGACTAGGTTCTGGAGGATCTAACAAAGTGTAGAGAGGACATAGTCCCTTCATAAATTTTACAACTTGGTAGGAGAATTATATACAAATAAAGTTGTAAACCACGTCCTGGGGAAAAGTCTCGCTATGTAGACTTCCAAAAAAATTCTAAACACGCACTTCAGCCTCTTCTTACTGACTTCTCTCTTGTTCTGTTGGGTCAGGTGTTGTGTCCTGGATCCTGTGTCAATCCATCAATGAACATTAAGTGCCAATTATGTGCTAACTACTATCACACAAAGACAAGAGACTAAAGTTTCCACCCTTAAGTGGGGGTGGGGTGCAATATGCTCATAGATAAATGAGGGGAAAAAAAGCAGATTTAAGGAGATGGGGCAGAGTTGGGGGACACTGATACTTGGGAGAATTAAGAAGGTTTCTTGGAGCTGATTCTTGAAGGGAGCTAAGGGTTTTTCTGTCTTGGGAAGTCTTTTCTGTCATCACCTAAAATTCCCCAGGTCTTTTTAAAGATATGAACCTTTGTCTAGCTAGCTCAGGTTCTTTGTCTTGTACTTTGTACTGTGCAGTTGATTTCTTTAACTGCACAAGTCTGTTTGGCAGACCTGCCCTTTTCAAATTTCATCTTGTTAGTTTTATCCACTTGCCCCAAGTGCCTCAAGATATTTTTGAATATTTTGTTATCTAATCTTACGAACTTTTTCTTCCACATCTGCTCATCTACAGATTTGGTGGGTTCAATCCTTGTATCCATCCAAGTTTTTGATAAAATGTTGACGTTGAATAATGAGTGGCTAGAAGCCACTTTGCATGAGGGGGGCAGAGGCCATTGCCCACTTCACTCTTGTCTCTATTCTTTAAAATTATTCTCTGGATTCACCTCCTCAACAGCAGCCTTGACTCCCTCCTCCTGCCTTTCAGAGTCTCCCCTTTATGTGATGTTTTACCCAATTATATTGAAATACAGTTATAAATATATATATATATATATATATATATATATATATATATATATATATATATTTTAAAGGTTCACAGACCCTACATTAAGAAGAACTTGGGCATTACAGGCATTTTAATATTTTACAAATACCAGGGCAGCATTTAGGCTCTCTATTTCTTATCTCTGGCTCATGGTACAAGATAGGCCTAATGCTTTCTTCTGATCACATGCCTCATTGATAATATTTTTATGCTATTTCTAGAGCATAAGTGATTATTGGTAATATATTATAGCTCAGTGGTATCAAACTCAAAAATAAACTTAAATGAAAAGGAGGGGAGGGGGCTACTAACTCATAGGTAAGGACTTCTACAGCTGCCTATTGACTTAGTTTAAGAATGTAATATGATATATTTTGTATTTTTATTTATTTTGTTAAATAATTCCCAATTACATTTTAATTGGGAAATTAAAGTGTAAAAGTTTGACAGTGCTGTGATCTGTTGCAGGCTGTTACATAGCTTATTTATACTTGCCATGCATCTCTTTCTATTATCCTTTGGGTGACTTGTAATTTTAAATCTTCTGTGACTATTCTTTCATGATTCATAGCCATATAACATCCATGGGAGAATATTAGAGTTAAAAAGATGGAGATTTGTGTCAAGGAGCTACCTGACATTGAAAGTGCAACCCAATTTTCTCCTGTTTAATTCTCTGCTAAGCTCAATGGCCATTTGTACGTGATATGTTTGATGCTAATGGACTAATTAATGGATTGCCTATCCATCTGCATGTTATAGCCTGAGTGACAGGCATTCTTTATCTCCAACTGTATTCTACATATGTTTATTCATTATGCAGTTATATATGTGTATATTGTCTCCCTCAATAGAATGTAAGCTCAACAGCAGAGATTCTTTAATTTTTTTTCTTTTAATTCCTGTACCTAGCACATAGCACTTTATAAATGTATATTGAGTGATTGATGCAATTGATTTTTCACGTGTAGACCGTTAGGATAATTTCTTTTGAACAGCTGTAGACCTCTCTGATTAGGCCTTGTAGTATTCTGAGACTTGGTGAAATTCATGCAGTGTCATCTAAAATAGGAACATCTGGAGAATCTCACCAACTGTAAGGAATGTTTCTTCCATTTAGGCTTCATTTAGGAAACTTACAAGGACTGTGGTGAACACCCTCCAAGACCCCATTTGATATTGATAATTAGAGATTAAGAATGTTATCAATGTGGTTGAATAGTAGGCAGGTAGCCTCTCCCAGAATAGAATATGGTATGGTGACTCAAAATACCTTGGGATATCATCTGAAAGGCCCTGACTCCATGTGGGCAGGCCTTTTTATGCCTTTAGGTGCTGTATTAGGAAGCGATATTACTAGGACCAGGGAGCTACTTCAACAAAAACTAGGCTTGAGCCTTAGCCCCAAGACCAGTCAAGTTTCAGAGAAAGCTTCTTTCCTCTTTGGTGAAGGGGGAAGGTGGATAAGCATTTATATAGCTCAGGGGGAACCAGCTGTTGATCCTATCACATTTTTCTTATATGTGTGGAAAAGATATATGTATGTATTTATGTATGAGTGTGTATCCTATTTCCCTCCACAATGCCATAGTATTTGAGGTAACCTTCATATGAAGAATTTGGGGGAGGGAGTTATAAGCACTTTTGATCCCCTTTTGAAAGAACAACACAAAGCCATTCTGCTGTTACTAGACGATTTGAGGTATAAGTGCCTAGGAAAAATTTGTGTTGAAATCAATTGGCAACCATCCTGTACACCTATGTATCGTAAATTGCTTATAGCTTTCACCTTTGAAGCCAGCTGAAGAGGTTTCCTTAATTATCACTTCATAGGTCACATACTCTCATCCCACTCAACCAATTACTCTTCTCAGAGATTGCAAAGTATAGATCAAAAAGCACAGGTAATATGTAATACATCTTTGTTCCTACCAATTGCTACCCTAGAGTCCTCCTCTATCAGAAACGGCACTTTCCATTTGCCCCTGTGCTCAGTTCATGCAATTCCCAGGCATGACTCCAGCCTGAGTCCCAGGCTCAAAGATTGTGTTAGTTTAAATCTCACTCAGGGCTGGCAGGAAATTCTTATCCCTTTGAACTACAAATTCCAGAATGCCACTCAATTGCCAGTGCAATTCCTGTTGGCACCTTGTTAATGACTTTTCCCCCCTATCCTTTCCCCTCAGAGCTTAATTTTCCTTGGTAGAAAAAACAGAAGTAACATAGTGGAGTAGTTCTATATTCTCTGTACCTTCTGTTGTCTTCCTACCCTCTCTTAATAGTGTTCTTATCCTTTCCTTGCTTCTTGTCATTTAAAATTAAAAAAAAAATTGGCATACTTTATTTTAACATTCATCTCTCTACCTTCAAGCCCTCCCCCACCCATTGAGAAGGCAAGTAATTTGATATCAATAATGTGAAGTCATGCAAAACATACTTCCATATTACCTTATAACACAGCATAATATGCTTCTTGTCTTGTTTCTAACATAACACAACCACCACCACATCAGCAGCAACAACAAAAACTTTGCCTTATTTGAGATTTTTAGCTTTCCTGACACTGTCACATAGGCTCATAGCACTCTTTGCAATCATTCTGTTACCCATTCCAATTTCTATATTTTAAAATCTTTTTTTCTTCAAAATCTGAGTTGGCTGATGTTTTCCCTATGTAGTCTCCCACATTGAAATAATTTATGTTTGCATCAAAAGAATCTTGTTCTTGATAGATTTCTGTCATTCCTCTTGAATTGCCTTCCCTTTAGAATCCCATTCAGCATACCAGGAATTAATTGACTTCCTTGAAATCTCCATTAAGGACAAGAAAGAAAATTAGGTGCTATGTCAGCTTCTGTGTCTCTTATCCTAAAATATTCTAGAAGTTGTTTGGGTATATCTGTTCAGCCTTCTAGAGGAGTAATTACTGTTGCTTTAGTTCTCCTTCCTTTTAGACATGCCCCCCAATTTTATTTTACCATGTAGCCTCATATTGGGGTCTCTCTTGCTCATGTCTTCAGTCTTTCTGTTAGTTTTTCTGCAGGGTTTTTACTGTGAAGGTCTCCTTTCCTCTCTTCTGTCCTCTCCCC